CATGCATGCATGCATGTATGTACACACACACACACACACACACACACACACAGACACACACACACACACACCAGAAGAGGTATTCAGCAGGTTCTGACCAGTTCTGGAGAACCGGTAGTGGGAATTTTGAGTAGTTCAGAGAACCGGTAAATGCCACCTCTAATTGGCCCCGCCCCATCTATTCTCTGCCTCCCAAGTCCCAGCTGATCGGGAGGGATTTTACAGTATCCTTCCCCTGTCAGGCCCACCAAGCCACGATGGTCACATGACTGATTTTTTCCCCACACGATTTTGCCGAAAATGGATACTTGCTTTCAGTTTTTGGCAATACCGCACCATAAAAAACAGTGGATTCACTTAATGATTGTGGTTTTTGCTTCATGACTGTCACACACAAAAAAGGTTCTAACGTCACAAGACCAACCCAATTTAGGATCATTATGATTTATGATCATAATAGGCAGGATCCATTAATGTCACAACCCCATTAACATTTTTATTGAGATACAAAGTCATGTAACATACACGATACAAATACACACATGGTACCAAAGCCTTAACATCAAATCACAACTTTTTCTTCAAGGACTTTCAATTTACACATTTTAGCAATTGCATGTTCACCATCCCCTCCAATGATTTTTTGTAAGGCACAAGAGTATTTCTTCAATGGCCCATTATAGTTATAAACAGCAAAGTCGTAGAAACCTGGCCCTAGACATGGCTAATTGTATCATCTTTTCTTAATTTTATACAATCTGCTTTTTAAAGTGATATGTTTGCTCGGCTGCACGGAAGGATAGGAAAAGACAATGTGCATCAAAGCTTAAATTTCAAAAATATTGGAGATGAAACGAACCTCACGCTGCTGAATATCCTAAGCTTATAAATAAAATATAAACAACTTCCTTCCATATTATTTTCACTTTCCCCTTCTGCAGATCACTATCTTCCTCCACCTGTTGCATGCTGAATATTATAAGAGGCTGGGGAAAATACATTAAAGGTATAACTGGAGCCTGTAAACTCTTGATGTGCTAAATATTTAATAGGTACAGTATTATATTTAATTCCAGATAATATACATGCACCATTCATCTCCATTATTCATTTCAATTCTGCAGAACTAGGGGGGAGGAAGGGGAAATCTATGATGCATGCATGGAAAAATGTTGAAACAGAATCTCTGAGTAGTCACGATTGCTATGATGTGCATCAGTGGTGGGATTCAAATATTTTTACTACTGGTTCTGTGGGCGTGGCTTGGTGGGCGTGACATGGCTTGGTGGGCTTGGCCTGGTGGGTGTAGCAAGGGAAGGATACTGTAAAATCCCCATTCCCTCCCCACTCCAGAGGAAGGTTACTACAAAATCCCCATTCCCTCCCCNCAATTATAGTCAAATGAAGGTTGAGGTACGATGATAGTAATATATATAAATATATTTGATTTAAAATATATGATTTGATATGAATTGTAGGTGATGACTGTGGAAGGGATGCACAGAACCTTTTATAACCAATAAACACACTTTCTACAATTTGTAATGGAAGATGGTTTTGTGGGGTTTGTTTGTGTTTTGTCTGTTTGTGTTTATTCAAAAAAATAAAAAAATCTTTATTAAAAAAAAGAAATGATATTCAATTATTTTTGGGTCAGAGGAAATACCACCCCAAGAAAATAAAAATTAAGAGCCGGAAGAGACACCTACAAAAATAGAAAAAGAAAGGAAAAGAGGAGGAGAGGAGAGGAAGAGGACAGAAGGAAGATAGAGTTGAGGAGAGGAAGATGGAAGGGAGAAGGAAAGGGGGTAGGAAGGGAAAGAGAAAGGGAGGAGTAAGGGAGAGGGAAGGTAAGAAGGAAGGGAAAGGAGAGAAGAAGGACGAAAGTAGAGAAGGGAGGGAGGGAGAAAAGAAAGGGAAGAGAAGATGGTGTCAAAACATGCGAGGGGTGGTAAACAAAGCAACACAAATAGTATATTATAATCCTGTAAATGGAATGACAAATGTATAAGAATGACAAATGTAAAAAAGAATAATAACTACGTGAATGTATACCTATAATTGTATATAGAAAGCAAAAAATAAAAACTTTTTAAAAAAAGGAAATTAAGTCCCACTAAATGTACAACCTCCAAGACAACATATATTTGGTTGGGATGCCTAAAAGATTTGGCCCTTCCTGGTTTTTGAAATGAGTTCTGATAGGAATATCTGAAAAGCATTGGGTGTGAAAACCAATAGGTCAACTCTAAAGCATCCCTGGCCTGCTATCAAGTTGCCATTGGCAAGAGGAAGGAGTTGCCATGAGCAGAACATTCCATGCATACCTTTCTCAAGGTTGTATCCCAGGTTACCAAAGCCAGCTGGAGAGGAGTGTTTTCTACAGCCCGGGGAAAATGCTCTAAGAATGTGATTTATGACACACCGTGGGAGGAGGGGAAAAACAGGGTCATGGTTGGGCCGTAAATCACGTGGGGTCAGAGCTAATTCCACTCAGGAATGTGCTGACAGGTTGTTCCTAATAAATCATTTGATTTCTTTTGAAACTTGGCTCGAGGCTCATCCTTCAGAACCCCGAAACAATACTTGAAAACCATGGTGTGGGAATAGGAATGGATTTCCTGGGGAAACACTGCAGACTACAGGAACCAGGAGGACTAACTCAGGTGACCCTGAGGACACAGATAAACCTCCACCATCCTCTCAGAGCTGAAGAAGCTTCTTGGATGAGAAGCAAAACGTCTTCAAAGAAAAACAAGAAAGTCCAGTTGCCACCTGAAAAAAAGCACCTTTGGGACAACCATGACCTGGATGACGGACAATCTCTATGGACTTTTAGCTACACAATTTGGGATGAACACTCTTTGAATGGTGTGGGAGTAGGAATGGATTTCCAGAAGGGGGGAAATTGCAGATGACAGGAACTAGGAGGACTAACTCAGGTGACCCTGAGGACACAGATAAACCTCCAAGTGCTTCAATGACCCTCTACAAGGATGCAAATGACCAGCTGTCTGCAAGGAGTATAAACCCTTCCATTCCCCACCATCCAGTCAGGATGTCAGCCTCTGCTTCGCTACTTGCTTTCGGCTGCCATTGAAACGGGAAGAGGGAGGCATGGTATTAATTGGCTCCACCCAGGGGTTAAACTCCGCCCACCATCCTCAGACTAACGGTGCTTGTGAACGGACTAATTCTGTTTTGGAACAGTACCTCCGGTGTTTCATCAATTATCAACAGGATAATTGGGCTGAGTTGTTACCACATGCTGAAGTGGCATTCAACAACTCTGTGCACAGCAGCACCAGTTTCACGCCTTTTAGAATTGTGTTTGGACAGGTTTTTGTATCTATTCCAGAATTACCCTGGGAAAAACCACAAGTTTTGTCCCTCTCCAAGTGGAGTGACCAGCTCCGACAAATCTGGCCCATGACCCGCAAAGCATTGGTGAAGAAGTTTCTTGGATAAGAAGCAAAATGTCTTCAAAGAAAAACAAGAAAGTCCAGTGGCCTCCTGAAAAAAGCACCTCTGGGACAACCATGGCCTGGATGATGGACAAACAACTGCCTTTTTAAAAGGTGTAGCAAAAATATACACTTATGTGAAACCACCAGCAATAAAACCAAAGATCACCATTGGGCCAATTCTTAGCGCTGGATTTAGCAAGGAAACACAAGGTCAGCCTCTTGCGGGCATAAGGAACCCCAACAAGGCCACCAAGCGAGACACATCGACGCCATCAAACTTACGTAAGTTGTTAGCCTGCGCTCTTGTCTCCATGGTCTCGTAATGCTGCATGTGAACCACAATGTTGAGATCGGTTTCCATGTGATCGGTGGTGCAGGCACCTTCTGGTCGCATCACATCAGCCAGAGCTCTGAGGAGTTGTGAAAAGAGAAAGAGAATGAAGCTCACATACCTCCCAAATCTTATTCCAGACACACAACTCAAAATCTGGGCATAGAGGAGGACCATTCTCCGCTCTGCTCAATTTCTGGATTGGGAAATAGAGAGGGTTAAAGTTCTTTGAATTTTTTCCAGGAAGGAAATGATCCTAACTAGTGGTGAAATTCATTTTTTTACTACCGGTTCTGTGGGTGTGGCTGGGTGGGTGTGGCAAGGGAAGGATACTGTAAAATCCCCATTCCCACTCCAGGGGAAGGATACTGTAAAATCCCATTCCCTCCCCACTCCAGGGGAAGGATACTGTAAAATCCCCATTCCCTCCCCACTCCAGGGTAAGGATACTGTAAAATCCCCATTCCCTCTCCACTCCAGGGGAAGAATATTGTAAAATCCCCATTCCCTCCCCACTCCAGGGGAAGGATACTGTAAAATCCCCATTCCCTCCCCACTCCAGGGGAAGGATACTGTAAAATCCCCATTCCCTCTCCACTCCAGGGGAAGAATACTGTAAAATCCCCATTCCCTCCCCACTCCAGGGGAAGGATACTGTAAAATCCCCATTCCCTCCCCACTCCAGGGGAAGAATACTGCAAAATCCCCATTTCCTCCCGATCAGCTGGGACTCGGAAGACAATGAATAGATGGGGGCGAGGCCAGTCAGAGGTAGTATTTGCCAGTTGTCCGAACTACTCAAAATTTCCACTACCAGTTCTCCAGAACATGTCAGAACCTGCTGAATTTCACCCCTGGTCCTAATCCATGTAGTGACTGGATTGCCAAGTATTGCAGCATCTGAACGATACCGGCCTGGCCACTCTCCAAGCCCGATAAAGGTCGGTAATTGTGAACTATCTTAAAAGACGGTGGGAGAAGAAAGACTTTGCTGGAGAGGAATTCACTGTCAATTAAATAAAAGGGGTTTTATTGGGACAAGGACTTGGCTTCATGCTGCTGGGGAAGCCTGCGTCAGAACACGACGTCAATGGGGAAAGCTATATTCATTTAACAACTGTAAGGATTCACTGAACAACCCCAGCAAAATCAGGGGTGATTATAAAACCGGGTGTGACTCCATTAACAACCTTCTTGCTTCACGATGGACACTCAAGTCCCATTGTGGTCGTATGTTGAGGACTCGCTGCACTGCAGAAACTCAACGGAAAGTGTTCTCCACCTGAAGTTTTTTTTTCTTTGAAGGACATGCGGTAAACAAGAGAAGCATGAAACCACCGCAGAGAGGATGGTGCCATGAAGGAGATGACAACCCTCAGCAACCTTGTAACTGAAGAAGTGAGCAAGCACTCTTATGTTCCACTGGTGAAAAATAATCAGGCATTCTCTTTTGTTTTAAAAGAGCCATTGAAAGCAAATCCTGTGATATTGCAATGAAAGAGATGGAATAGAAAGCAGGTTTCTCTCTCCCCCCCACCCCTCCGAGCTTTCGCCTCAGTGCTGGTGAGAGAATCTGGATGTTTGCATTGATTTAATATAATTCCACTCCCTGGAATAGCCAAGTGGGGGCTTTGGGGTTGACAGCCTTGGAATTCCAGGGTTATAGAATTGAACTTCTACAAAAAGAAGAGGAGTGAAATAGGCTGTTTTGAAAGAATACCGGTTCTTGGGGGTTTATTAAAGTTTCTGAATATTTGGAAAGAAGGAGAAAGAGAAGGAGGAGGAGGAGGAGGGGAGGAGGAGGAAAGAAAGAAAGAAAGAAAGAAAGAAAGAAAGAAAGAAAGAAAGAAAGAAAGAAAGAAAGAAAGAAAGAAANCAACAGGACGTTATAGCAGGGTTCGGGACATGCACATTACATCCCAGTACAGAAATATGAGACTTTTACTCTGGCCAAAAGTATGCATGGCATTCCCCCCACCTCAAGTTGATAGTAATCATGGAAATGCTTTAGACGTTGACACTGGTGCTCTTTGGAGTCAGTGTAGGTGTCGAGGTAGGTAGAGATTGAGTCTGGTCTGCTCCAAAAGCTTTTGGGGGCCACTTCTCTGATGCAATTGATTCAGGCTTTCAGACCCAGGCTGCAGAAATCCAGACAACCACTAGGAGGCAGCAAAGGGATTAAAAAACCCAAACTGTACTGCAATCCATGTTGCATAGGCAAGATGTGATAAGACTGTTAAATGGCCCAACTTGACAATGCTGGGGCCTAGACTGACAGCCACTTTAGACTTCTGTTTTGAAAAGAGAAAGAAAGGGAAAGAGATGCAGAGAGTTGTTAGGACTGCCTGCAGTGAGTTATTAGAGAGATTAGAGGAAGTTGTTGAAACTACCTCCTGGCGGTGATAATGATTCTTTCTCATTGTGGCTTTCCCTTTTTGGCAGGGTCATTTATACTTGACTCAATGCCACACAGTAAAGTCAATCAAGTTGCCATGACCCAAAGCAGCAATGGAATTGAGTCTCAGAAACGTAATTGAATTGGAAATCTTAAGTAGGAATGACTGCCATTCTGCTCTGCAAGTGAAGCTTTCTTTCCTTGATGATAATCACAGATAATTATATACAGATGACACGACCATTACTTAGTGCTGTACCTACCAGGCAGTAAAGAAAAAAGTGATGTCTTGGTCTCTGGATACCTCAGGAAGGAGAATGACAATTGCTTTTAGACTAGTTGTTTCATTTTGACAAATCCATCTGCCCATTACTTTAATGCAGAATTCAGACAATGTTCTGCTGAAGTGACTTCCCTAAATCTTCCTTCACCAAATTGTTCCCTTTTCTTGTGAGAGCCAGTTTATACTTAATGTGTTCACCTCACTCTTTGAGAAATAGTGACTGCTTTAGTTTTATTATTTTACTTTCTGATTTCCATCTTTCTTCAGGCTTTTAAAGCGAGAAGGAAGGTCCAGGTTAAGGAGCTGGGCTCTTCAGGAGAAACGTGCTAATGCCATCTTAAGGACATCAGTCACTCTATTCTCTCCTGGGCTATGTGTAAACTAAATGGAACAGGATACAGGCCATCCTACTAAGGCCATCCTACTAAGGACTCTGTCTACTTTCTCCTCAAATTCTTCCCTGATAACATTGCAAGTTGTCACTCTCAGCCTTTCTTTGAACTGTCTCCTGGCCAGTTCCCTACTCCAAGCAGATGTGAGTGATTTTATCTTAGCTAAGTTATCACTGGAGCCCATTAATGGTTATATCAATCTATCCTTCTCTAAAGTGGTTTTGCTGTCTCTTAAAAAGAACTGCTGGATGGCTCTCCCTGAATGCAGTTAGCAATAGCAATAGCACTTAGACTTATATACCGCTTTACAGCCCACTCTAAGCAGTTTACAATGTCAACATATAGCCCCCAACAATTTGGGTCCTCATTTTACCCACCTTGTGAAAGGCTGAGTCCACTTTAAGCCTGGTGAGATTCAATCTGCCATATTGCAGTCAGCTGGCAGACAGCAGAGTAGGCTGCAGTATTGTGCTCTAGCCACCGCACCACTGTGGCTAATGCTGCCTTTCTTGCTATTCAGGGGTGGGCTTCAAAAATTTCAGTAACAGGTTCTCTGCCTGGTTGCTAGGTGGGCGTGGCCATGGTGGGTGTGGCCTAGTCGGCCTCCTGCACCTCGAGGAGGGGGGAGAGGGTTTTCGCCTTCCCCAGGCTCTGGAGGCTTTCTTCAAGCCTTTGAGAGAGTGAAAACTGCCTCCCTCTAGCTCCAGAGGCCTTTCAGAAGCCCTTTCTCCCCCTCCCCAAGCCTCTTTGTGAACCCTGCACTTATCTCGCATCAAAATGGGCCACATGGAGAATCCTGGGAGAGGAGGGGCAGGAGGGGTGGGATGGGTGAGGACAGTCAGGGATGAGATTTGAAGGCTGTCCGAACCAGCCATAGCTACGAACCCAGGCGAACCTGTAGTAGCCGACCCCTTTTGCTATCCTATAGGCCTGAACTCAGTCTCACAACCATATCATCTTTCTTCAGATTTTTAAAGCAAGAAGGAAGGTGTATTTGAAGAACAAAGGACTAGTAGTGTGGGCTGGGCTGGGCAAAAAATGTCAGTATTTTTATGGATGTGACTAAATGTTTAGAACCTTCCTCTTTTTAAGTGTGTTGCAACCCATCTAAACAAAAGAAATGGGCCTTTAGTTGGAATGGTCACTATCTTGATTTTTCTTTTGACCTCCTCACAGTTAACTTGACTGCATTCTATCCTTACTAATCATTTTCAGCCCTCGCCTTCCAATTAATCAATTGGGGTTAATTTAAGAATGCAACATCAACTGAACAGGAAGCCAATAATTTGGTGCTTTAAAATAAGGGACAACAAAACAGAATCTTTGATGAACAGGTTTTTTACTTCTGAGTAAGCAAATACGTGGATGCTACCCATTGATAATCTTGCCCATAGGGCTGGCTTATGCAGATTTCAATTTAGTCACTTTCTGGAAACTCCAAAAGAATTATCTTTACAAAGATAAAATCTATATGTAATACAGAAAAAATGAACTCCACAATCCCACTTTAAGTTTATTGATTTTTCATACATTTCTGACTTGCCTACAGGCCATTGTGTATTTTGGCGTTTTCTTGATTCAGGAAGTTTCTTATTATCTATGATAGATAAATTCATGTTATTGCAATAAACATTTACTTCTTGAATTCTGGTGGGTTCAGAAAGATATTGAATGCAAACCATGGATGGAGAGAGAGAAAAACACGCTGATTTTAACATGCTTTTTCCTAATAGGAATTACTATTATTTTCTGTCTCTTGAAGAATATTCTAACAAAAAGTAATCATCTTATAATCATCACATTCTTATTCAGAAATTCTATATGCTTCTTCTAAAGCACTTAGCAGCAAAGTAGAAGCAATTGTTCCTCTTGTTATTTTTAATATGGCACAGGATAAGGAAATGGCATTCAGTTCTGGGTTATGGCATCATAAGATATGCTATTTCTTTTTATACCAATTTACTGATCAAAATCTCTTTTCCACCAAATTGTTTTATCCCCTAAAGAAT